TCCCCTGTCATGAACAGAGCAGGGTGGATAGGGAGGTTGTGGCCCCGCCCCCTGTCACACACAGAGCCGCAGGGTGATCAGGGGGTTTGGTCGCTGCCCCCTGTCACACTGATCCCGGTGCCGGGAGGCCTCATGCTCCGCTGATCCCGGTGCTGGAAGGCCTTGCTGCTCCGCTGATTCCGGTGCTGGGAGGCATATTACCCTTTTACTATATAGGATAGAGGCCTGGTGCATGGGTGGGGGCCGGCTGGTTTGCCCTAAAGGGTGTCCTGGATCAGGGTGGGGGTCCCCACTGGGGTGCCTGGCCAGCCTGGATGAGAGGATGATGGCTGTTTGCAGCTGGTCACACCCCCTTCAGGGTGGGGGTCCCCACTGGGGTGCCTGGCCAGCCTGGATAAGGGGATGATGGCTGTTTGCAGATGGTCACACCCCCTTCAGGGTGGGGGTCCCCACTGGGGTGCCTGGCCAGTCTGGGTGAGGGGCTGAGAGCCGTTTTCAGGCTGGTGGGTGACTGAAGCTCCCAACCTGTCCTTTTTTTCTTTTTTTTTATTCTGGGCCAGCTTTAGCTCTGAGGCTTGGCTCCAGCTCTGAGGCCTCGGCTGCTGAAAGCAGGTATCTGGTTTGTTTGGGTTGTATAATTGTAACACTGTTGCGGTCCTGCTCACTCCAGCTCTGAGATCCCAGCTGGCTGAAAGCAGGGATCTGCGTTTGTTCTATAATTGAAACAATGTTGCGGTCCGGCTGGCTGAAAGCAGATTTCTGGGGTTTTGTTTAGCTTCTATATTTGTAACAATGTTTCTTAAACTGCAAGCTCAGAGGCTGGCAAGGCAGGCGGGGAACGTTGGCTTCCTCTGTCACTGAAGCAAGCAAGCCTCTGTTCACTTCAAGCTGCCTGGCTGCCGGCCGCCATCTTGGTTGGCAGTTAATTTGCATATCGCCCTGATTAGCCCATGGGAAGGGTAGTGGAGGTATGGCTAATTACCATGTTTCTCTATTATTAGATAGGATTAAATAACCTTTTTCTATTTAAATAAATACATTTTAACCAAAAAAAAAGAATCACTCTAAAGAAAAATATGACTAATGGGTAGTAAGTGGATTAGGGAAATAGTGTGATGAAACTGCTCAAATGTCTGAAATTTGGAAAAAGCTCTGCTGCTTCGTTGTTCAGTGAGAGGGCGGGTGTGGGCTCTTCTGTGGCCTCCTGATAAGATGGAGCAGGATCAGCAGTGCCCTGTACAGGTGAGCCTTTTAGAAATCTTTTATACCGTATTTTTACTGTAGCTTTTCTATGTTTAGGTACATAAATACTTGCCATTGTGTTACAATTGCCTACAGTATTCAGTACAGTAGCATGCTGTACAGGCTTGTGGCCTAGGAGCAATAGGCTGTGTACCACAGAGCCTAACGGGTAGGGGGCTGTACCACCTAGGTGTGTGTAAGTGCACTCGATGGTGTTTCCACAATGATAACTGCCTACAGACGCCTTTCTCAGAAGATACCCCGTTTCAGTGATGCATGACTGTAATTGCCCATTGAAATCAGCACTGACGGTTTGTTGGCAATTGAAAAGGTCCAAAACACGTTCACTTCTCCCTGCTCTGACCCAAACCTGTTCCTCTTGATTTCTCCCCATATTTTGTGAATGGCACCACCATTTACCCAATTGCACGAGCCAAAAACCTTGTGGCTATCCTTGACTCCTTCCTTCCTTTCTCACCCACATCCAATCCATCTGTGAATCTCTCTGCTCTACCTTTAAAGAATATCCTAATCTGATTATCGCTCACCACCTCCTCCCTGGCCATACTAGTCCACATCAGCGTCACTTCTTCTTTAGACTCCTGCTGTCGATTGATTCCTAAGTGGCTTTCCCCCTTCTGATTTTACCTCTGCATAGTCTATTCTCTAAACAGTCACCAGAGGGATCTTTGCAAAACTTAAGCATATGCAGCCATGCCCCTGCTCCCAATTCTCTAGTAGCTTCCATCCCACTTAGAATGAAGTCCAAATTCCTTACGAAGACCTTCTATGATGTGGGCCCCTACCACCTCGCCAACGCCATTCCTTCTCACTGCGCTGCAGCCGTGCTGTTTCCTCACACACCAGGCATATCCCCCTTCGCAGCCTTTGCCTTTTCTATACCATCTGCTTGAGGTGCTTTCCCTCCGGGTGGTCACCTTGGCTCACCCCCTAACTTCATTCAGTTTTCTGCTCAATGCCCCCCCCCCCTCCGCCAAGACACTTTCCCCGACCACCCTATTATCCCCTTATTATCCCCTTCACTCTCTATCCCTTTCTCTTTCTCCACTTTATTTTTCCTGAACACTTCTTGCCTGGGCCAATATTTGAGTGAGTTAGTTCGCTAGTTAGTTCTCAACTTAGTTATTGACTTGCCTGCTTACACATAAGCTTCATTAGAACAGGGGTCTCTATCCATACCTGTGTATCCCCAGTGCCTAGCACAGTGCCTGGCGCACGGGAAGCCTCCGAAGATCCGTGTTGAATGAATGAATGACTTGCAAAGGCAGCGGGTGTGGTAGGTGCACAGCCATTGGATTCCCCAGGCCACCTGCCCCCGCCCCCTTTTCAAAAACTCTAGGGGGCCAGCCACACCTCCCGGGGTCGGGGGCGTCTCGGGTCCTTCCGTCCTCCCGCCTGGAGGGGGAGTCGAGCCTCGGTGGGCGGAGAGCGGAGGGAGCGGCGGCCGGGCGGCCCTCTCTATGGTCCCCTCCCCAGCCCCTCGCCCCGCCCGGTGCCTCTATGGTTCTTCCTGTCAGCAGTCGGGAGGGGGCGCTGTGCGCAGGCGCGCGCTGACGCCACGGCGGGACTGGAAGGATAGCAGCGGTAATACAGGCTCCACGACAGAACGCTTGTTGCTGCTTTTTTGACTAGTACCCGGGGATTGGCCATACAAAACACCTCCGAGAACGAACTACAAGTGGGTGCCAATGTGTTAACAGACAGTAGGCTAACGTAAAAATTAGG